ATTACCAGCAATAAAAAATTTTGTTGGCATTAAATAACCTATTGAGGTTGATATATATAAAAAAAAACAAACCAAACCAAATCCTCTCTCTCTCTCTCTCTATCTATATATATATATATATATATATATATATATATAATATAATGTGTGTGTGCATAAATAAATAAAATGACAAATTTTATTTGGATTAATCCTATATATATATATGTATTTATATATATATATAGGATTAATACGATTAAAATTCTCATATATATATATATATATATATAAGATACAAATTTTAATTGTATAAATATATATACATATTAATAAAATAAATTGTCATAAAGTGACAAATTTGTATTAATATATGTATATATATTAATAAAATAAATCTATATATTAATAAAAATAAAATGACATTTATTTGTATTAATATATATATATATATATATATATATATATATATAAAGATTTATTAGACGCCTGGACTCTAATGAGTAGTATTATGCAAATCTCTAGTGTTGGTCAAGAGATAAGTTTCTTGAATATTTATTTGTTAATATATAAATATATGTGTGTGTGTGTGTGCGTGTGTGCATGTGTGTACAGAGAGAAAAATGAAAAATATTACAATCAAGCTTAATTGATTGTAACTTCTGAAAAAGAAAGCCAAAGATGTCAATTAATTATCTTCGTTTGGCAACTAATTAATCTTTCCATTAATATTAGTTTATTTAGAATACACTAGACTCAGCTTTGTGGCATTATCAATCATTGCTTTGAATTGCATTAGCTTCAGAGATGCAAATACATTACATTTATTACAACAGACAACTAATATTCAATCATTATTATAATGGTAACATACTGCCCTGTCAGTTAGCTATAGAATATACAATCTGCATCTCCTGTATAAGAGGTAAGAAAACTCAAGAAGGAAGCACTTTCTAGCTGGATGCTTGAAGACCCAAGTATAAACCCAACCAATCCTGGGGTATTATTTATATATATTTTATGATATATTATTTATATATATTTTATGATATATTATGTATATATATTTTATGTTATTTATATATATTTATGATATATTGTCTATATATATTTTATGATATATTATTTATATATATATATTTAGGATATTTATATATATTTATGATATATTATGTATATATATTTTATATGTTATTTAGATATATTTATGATATATTGTTTATATATATTTTATGATATATTATTTATATATATTTTATGATATGTTATTTATATATATATTTAGGATATAAATATTTATGATATATATGTATATATATTTTTATATGTTATCTATATATATTTATGATATATTGTTTATATATATTTTATGATATATTATTTATATATATATTCAGGATATTTATATATATTTATGATATATTATGCATATATATTTTATATGTTATTTATATATTTTATGATATATTATTTATATATATTTATGATATTTATATATATTATGATATATTATTTATATATATTTATGATATATTATTTATATATATTTATGATATATTATTTATATTTTTCTAAAGTTTTTTATTTAAACAGTATATAGTGTGCGATGGGTTAATTGTCACCATTTTATATTCTTAATTTTGTGCATGCGTATTGTTTATTTTTGATTTTGTCAACTGCATAGTATAGTAGGCTCAGTTGGGCACCATCTGTAAGAAAAAGAGCACCATGATACAATTCACTCCACCAGAAATTTGGAAACGGCATGCTGCAATGCTTGGTATTCACACCAGAAGCTTCAACACAAACATTTCAGTGCATTTGGATGTCAATCTGAGGACAGTACAGAGGATTTGGAAAAAGTTGGATGTATTGTGATTACAAAGGTGTTTGGAGTGATCAGTAGTGATAACAATGTTATACCTCCATTCATCTTCCTAGTGGACCTCAGGCTCAACATGGAGGCCTACATCAATTGCCGTGAATAGATTGTACTGCCCTGGGTCAAGAGGGTGGCTGCTGGAAGAACCTATGTCTGGTAACAGAACTCTACAACATACTACACAAGCAGGAGAACCCAGTTATGGCTGTCAGAAAATTTCTGTGAGTACATCATCCCTTACATCTGACCATGTAATCCCTAGACTGTAACACACTTGATTAATATATGCTGGGTGCAATTGACTGAGAGACCAACAAAACTCCTTATAACATGAACTGAAGGCAAGGATTATGGCAGCATTCACCAACTTAAACAAGGAGACTGTCCAGAAGAGAAGCAAGAGATTCCAAAGTTATCTGGAAACCATATTTGAAGCCAGTGATGATTTTATTGATTTATCTGTTAAAATGAGATGCAGTGTTATTTTCATTTTTGCAGAATTTAGACAACAAATTATCCATCGCACCTTGTGTGTGTAGGTATATATATATATATATACATTAAAAAGGATAGAGATACCGCAAACGTTTTTGGTTGTAATGTGGATTTTTTTTTTTTTAAAATATTATGCTTTATTTTCCATAATTCAAGAAAGAAATTCAGATTACTAACATATAAAAAGAGAATGTCTCATATTGAGAATATTTAGCATTGAAAAACATAAAGGAGAAAAAATAATTCATTATTTTTAATAATATGTGGAAATCTCCACCATTTACCTGATGATAGTCACAAGTCCAGAAACCTGTGTAGTAAAATTATGGAAAATAAAGCATAATATTTAAAAAAAAAAAATCTACATTACAACCAAAAACATTTGCAGTATCTCTCTTCTTTTTAATAAACACACTTTTCTCTCATTGGAACTACTATAACCTCTTCCTTTTACATATATATATATATATATATATTATGAACCCCCTTCTCCTTCCTTCCTTCCTTTCTCCAACCTTATCGATAGGGAAGGTAGAGGAGGATCGTAATCTGTGTTATTTTGTTTTATAACATTTTACATTTTTTTTGTAAACTATATTTCTTTCCCAAGGGTCTCTTTCCGACTGATCAGACACGGCCAAGCAGAATTGATTAGAATCAAATAAGAAGCAAACACGATAGTCGACAAACAACAATGGAGACAGGAAATATAAATTTATTAACAAACATGGGATCGTGGAAAAGATAAAAATAAAAAAAAAACAGCCAAAACAAAAATGACGATATGTCAAGACTAAACATTGTGGACAAAATAGTGGGAAGAGAGCATCCTCTAAGAAAGGTAAAAATAAAAATCAGCCTATGGCCTTGTGCCATACTGCCATGAATTTATAGAACATGTTCTATACCTGCACAGATTCACAAAACATCAACATCTTAAGACAATGTGGAAAGGAACATGTAATAAAAAGATTTCATGCTAAATTTGCATGAAAGTACAAATACAAAAAAGAGGTACATTTAAACAAAACAGGGTACAAGAAAAATAATAAACTTAACTCAGAATAATAAGGTCCGTTTTCACTAACAATGTTTCTTAGTCTTATCTATTTCTTTCTTTTTTCTTTTTCCTTTTATAAGGGTCACTTTTTGACGTCTTCTCTTACTTCCTCTCTTTCTCTTTTCGTCGTCTAGGGGCTCGGCTGATGATGAAGCAGAAAATACGTTCTCTCTCTTTTTTGTCTTGGTATGACAGCATTCTCACTCGAGATGGTCTGTTCTTTCTTTCTTTCTTTCTTTTCCCTCTCTCTTTGTTTAAGGGCTTAGTGACAGTTGAAACAGCTTTCTCTTCGATATAGCGGCGTTCCACCTACGTCGTCAAAACAGGTCCATCCATTCGACTGGGAGACCAATTCTCCTCACAATTTTGGAAACACATCTTTTAGGTCCATATACTGAGACATTTTCCAAACATCTGTCCAGGCCGCAGGCCCAGACGGAGACTAACTTTTTCGTTTCACTTTTCGTTTCTGTTTTCTTCTTGTCACGTGGTCAATTTTCAAAATACTAACTTTTTCCCATTATGGGTGGAATGAGGTCATCGACCCTCTTTCTCATCTTCAGGATCAGAGAAAGTTTAGTTTAAAGTGTTTCTTCTCCCAACCGGAACCTATCCACGTAGATCATACTGTCAAGACCTTGACCAAAAGAGAAGGAAAGGGTACACTCTGGTCAATCCTTGTCGCCACTAAGTCTACCTATCTCTTTGGGTTTACTATCTTTACATTTTCTGCAAGTACTGCGCTCTTTATTTTAGAATGCTTCTAAAATATAAGCAATAGTATAGTTTTTAATAAAAACTTTTTATAATACATTTAGATTGGGGTTTGTAAAAATATATATATATGCAGCATGTCTACTAGGTTCACAGCATGCATAATTCCTATTTTTTTCTTTTTGCCCATGCCCCAAAACTGAAATAACTCACTACTGCTGATGGGGTTTTTTACACATACGTTTCTGGCAAAAGGGTTTAACATCTGCTATAAACCCAACCAATGTTTACCTACAGACCCAAATATAAATTTGACCAATGTTTACCTATTTCCAATTCCTTCTAAAGTCTTTTCATTCTCTTTCACTCTTAGTAGCCCCTCATGTCTTAATGGCATTATCACCTTGCTTGGGGTGAAATGATTAAAAAAAAAAAGAAAGTATAATAAAAAGAGATTATGACATTAAATAACACAAAAAAGATTGATATGCTATAAAATTGACCCACCAAACCCAATTTTATAATCCTATAATCTATTATAGGATTTAAGGGAGGGTTGCCATTTTTTTCATTTCATATATATATATATATATATAGACTGATTCATGTTCTACTGCTTATAAACCCTTTGCAAGTTATTTAAAGCCAAAAAATATTTTTAGATTGTAAGAATTTTTTTTTTAGATAATAATGATTTAGTGATAAAAGCTTTACTAATTAACCCATAGCTGGAGAGAGAAGAGGTGGACTCATACTTTTCCTAAGAGTATTTGTGTGCAAGTGAATGTAACAAACCCAACTGAAATTGGAACTCGGCTCTCCGGTTAACAATTCCGAGCCATTATCTATTACACCACCTGCACATCCAAGCTTACAGCACCTGGTATTCCCAGGCAGTAACCCATCTAGGTACTGATCAGGCTCAACGTTGCTTAACTTTGGTGATCGTATGGGAACCAATGTTTCAATGTGATGTGACTGTAAGCCTTTATACATATATATGTCTTTAAACAAGAAATTTCCCATGATCTTTCTTGAAAGATCATATCTACTCAATGTGTATCTTAACACAAACAAATAACAACATATATTATGAAATGGATATATATATATATATATATATATATATATATATATATATGTGTGTGTGTGTGTGTGTGTGTGTGTGTGTGTGTGTGTGTATACACATAACAGCAAGGTTTTGAGGAGTGTGAAACCACCTCTTAATTGCTGGTGTTCCCAGGTCCACCCTGACCCAGGGTGGTATCACCTGTTAGGATCCCAGTTATGGTCAAATAGTTAACCCCCAAACTGGGGTTAAAACACTATGAAAATGTAAATATGTTTTAATACCAGAAATACTTTCTAAAAAATTCTTACCAGCAATACATTTCTGAAAAAAAAAAATTACCTGCTATACTTAAAATATTACCAGAAATAAAAATTTTGTTGGCATTAAATAACCCATTGAGGTTGATATGCCATAAAAAAAACCAAACCAAATATATATATATATATATATATATATATATATATATATACCCAAGTATAGGATTGGTGTATATGGAATAAATAGGTTCTACAATCTACAATCAACATCATCACTTGATAAGACACCAAAGTGTTGAAACAAAATGGCTATTTTGTAGTGATTTTATAACATATTTATGTTAGAATTTTTAAATAAATAATTATATATATATATATATATATATATATATATATATATATATAGGATGTCCAAAAGTTTTGTCTAATTTTTATTTATTTTATTGCAGTTTGGTCCTTGAGGGTTAAGGAATCTAACTTTTAAACTGAATCAGAGTCAACAAATTGCTGCTGTCCAACATTACTATCAGTGTGGTGCAAATGCAGCTGAGGCAAGTTGTCGCTTCAGTGAAGGATTTCATATTCTTGTAGTTCAGGGCAGGAACATTGTCACTCATTAATAAGTTCAAAACAACAGGCACTGTAAACTATGCACCCAGATCTGGATGACCTGCTACTGCAGCATCTGATGAAAAAGGTGAACAGTTGATAGCTTGTCAAATTGACAGTCCACAGAAATCTGTGTGGCCCTATCTTGTGAACTTGAAATAAGTCATCAGATTGTACATAAAAGGAATTTAAAGCCCTACATTCATTGCCTGTTTCATGCTCTGCATGACAGTGATGTTGATCACAGACATGAGTTTTCAGAGATGTTCCTTGTCTTGATGTGCAATGAACCTTTAAAGGATATGATATGGTGATCAGTTGAAGCATGCTTTAAATTAAACGGCCACATTAACTGACATAATTGCTTGAATTAGAGTCATGAAAATCCACATCTGGTTTTGGAGAAGGAAGTTAACATCCTCGGAGTTACTGTCTGTGCTGTGATTTCAAGCAGTCAGATTACAATCTATTCTTTTTTGGTGCACTGGGCACTGGGGAATGGCATGTCAATATCTTACTTCTTCGTCAAGTGCAACAACAAAGAGACGTGCACTTCCAAAAGTATGGGGCTATGCCCTGCTATGTGCATTGGGTTCATGAATTGTTTGACATCAATTTTAATGGCAGATGGATTGGTCAAATGGCCAGCACATTCACCTGATTTAACTCCAATGGATTTCTTCTTGTGTGGTGTTCTTAAAGACATAGTATACAAAAAGAAACTGCAAACTATTCCTAACCTTTTTTGAGTTATTAATGAAAAATTTCCCACTATGTCAAAATGTTTGTCATAGAATTGCTATGTGTTTGCTTTCTTGTATTGAACACAATGGAGAACAATTTCTCTTAAAGGTATATAGATTTGCTACACATTTCACATGCTTGGGTAGCTTATTTCAATAAAATAATCAGGATCACAAGATTGTAATCCATCAGGGTCTAAGGGGCACCACACATACTGCAACCAGAATAGCAGTGGTGTTTCCTGGGCAAAGCAACCTAACAGAATTTGACTTTCTCCGGGCTGGTTTGAATTCAGAGTTTTTCCTTCTCCTAGACTGATTGCCATCCAAGGCTATAGGACCCAATCTGTCCTGCTATTTACCCATAGATGCAGGGAGGAGAAGAAATGAATTCATACCATTCCCAAAGGTATATTTGCATGCCAGTGTATATTTGCAGAGACACCAGATAAGTAAAGATTGACAGTGCACCACCTCCCAGCCTGGTTCACCCCCCAACATACCATGTCACAACTAAAACAGATTTTTCAGTGTGAAGATCGAACTCATTAGTCATCTCCTCATCCCCTCACCCAGTGATTCAAAGTCAAGGTCATCTCCACATGCAGAGGATAAACATATCTGTATACAAATGAATGTAATGAACATTATTTACATTATTTGGACTATTGTCCTCATCTTTGTCATCATATTTATTACAACGTTTCGGCTGTTGTATGCTCCAGCCTTCTTCAGGTGGTTGGAATGTCGAACTGAACCCTTTATTTCGCTCACAGGGGTAGACTGTTCTAGTTCCACGTGCCATGTTTAATGGATGTCAGTTATCAGTTATCTTCTGTTAATTTCCCTATGAAAGTTCTCCACTGCCTTAACCGGGTATTGAACTCACACTCTTTGGGTCCTGTCACTGGATCTAACTAACGCCTTTATCCACTGTGCCATGTGTCCTTGAGGAATGGCCAAAACGTTGTAATAAATATGGCAACAAAGATGAGGACAATAGTCTGAATAATGTAAATAATGTGCATAATACCTCATCTCAGAAATATAGACAGATACTGAAAGGCCGAAACGTTATAGTAAATATAGCAACAAAGATGAGGACAATAGTCCGAATAATGTAAATAGTTTACATAATACCTCATCTCAGAAATATAGACAGATACTGAAAGGCCGAAATGTTGTAATAAATATGGCGACAAAGATGAGGACAATAGTCAGAATAATGTAAATAATGTACATAATATTTCATCTCAGAAATATAGACAGATACTGAAAGGCCGAAATGTTGTAATAAATATGGCGACAAAGATGAGGACAATAGTCAGAATAATGTAAATAATGTACGATACCTCATCTCAGAAATATAGACAGATACTAAAGGGCCAAAACGTTGTAATAAATATGGTGACAAAGATGAGGACAATAGTCTGAATAATGTAAATAATGTACATAATACCTCATCTCAGAAATATAGACAGATACTGAATGTAATGAACTCGACTTGAATTCAAACTCAGCTCTCTGATTCCTCAATCCGAGCCATAATCCATTACTCCAATCTCCGTATAGACTTTTGATAAAAAGATATGGATTACTGGAAGAGTAAACATGGTTTTTGAGTTCCTCATGCAAAATAGCAAATAAATTTATAACAAGACCAGATTTTTATCTACTAGTCTCACATATTTTTATCTACTAGTGTCACATAAATAATAATTAGTAATACTGGTGATGTTTCTTATTGGCTCATATTGTATTTCTTCTTGCAAAGACATAACTAGCAGACTTGCATTAGTCTGGCACAAGGCCATAAATGTGGAACACTTAAAAATGCTCACATTCACTTCAATAATGGTCTATGGATGCATTGTCTTAACTATTGTTTATTGTAACTGGTATAACCAGTTATCTCCCCCTTAATGGACTTTTCCTATCAGCAGTGGCAGCAGCAGAAGCATAGACTTGCGTCCCCGTCTGCCCAGGGTGGATTGGGCCATTAAATATTTTTTAAACTGCTGTGATTTCTCTCTTGACACTTTAACTTTACTTGTGTTTTGTAGGTCACCTGTGAATATGTCGTATATGTAGGATTGAGAGGTGATGGATAAGTTCTTGTAGTAACTGGGCACATTGTAATGAATAAATGGGTCGTGATTGTGATTGACTAGGATAGTGAGAAAAGACCAGCCTTTCCCCCACTTCCTCTTCGGCCTTGTGCCACAATTTTTGTAAGAAATTTACAAAAATTAGTATTCTTTAACTTTACTTGCCTAGATGAACTACTGACATTTTAATCCAGGCCTGGACTTTTATCACATTGTGTAGTGAATATTGCTGCAGAAAGTGGGGTTGCTGCACCAAGTGCAAATTTTAACCATTTGTTACATTCACTTTCACACAAATACTCATAGAAAAGGTATGAAGCCATCTCTTCTCCCCTAGCTATGGGTTAAATAAAAAATCTTTAAAAACTGAATATTGTTTGAAATTGAGACTGATATATTTCTTCTTGCAAAAATTTATACATAATTAATGGGCTTACATTTGTTTGGCACAAAGTTATAAATGTGGAGCAATAGGGAATAATCAAATTCACTACTGTGCATGGATGTGTGCTTAGTGATTATTTTCCATAGTGAGAATTCTTTCAGATCATGCAATAGAGGTGTAGAAAGATCTCTACCTAAGTTATGATAGGCAGTTTGGATTTCTATGTTCACACTGTTTATATCTACAAATGAGATACAAGACAAAAAGTATGCAAGGTATATCATAGCATAAACAAACTTTTCCATCTCAGTTTAATTTGTCAAAATTGTAGAACTGTGAAACCAGTAAAGTTACTCTAAATGAGTGGTTCCCAAACACTTTGGTGTGCCTCATAGATGTGGCAGAAGAGGATAGCAGGTGAGGCAGAATGATTGAAAGACAACCAAAGATTTAGAAACAACTTTAAAAAATTTATATATCAAAGATAAATATAATTTCAAAATTTCAAATATTATTATGGATTACTTGTAATTGCATGCATGAGTCCCAGTATAAATAGTTATAAATTGGCTAATTTCATTATGATATTTTTTCATTATATAAAGTATTAAGAATATAGTAACTAGGGTCAACAAATTGGAGGAGAGAGTTATCAATGATTATGTTCTGACTTCAAGTCCATGGTTATCTCCCTTGAAACATCGCACTGTTTTTTTTTTGGTTTTTTTTAAATGTACTTTTTATTACATAAAATTTGGTGAGATGCAAGCAAATTTTTATTCTGAATATGCAGCCCAGAGAAAAAAG